AATTGACGAATATACAGCAAGTTGTCAGCATTATAAGCAATCACAGATTTGCGTAATTTTACTGAGACACGCTTGATTATCTGGATTATAAAGAAGAGCGAGAATTATAATTTTAGTATAAACAGAGGATTTCTTATTTTCAGGTTTTACATGTAGGCGGTCAAATGAATATCCTGTGTTATTGTTTAATGAATTTCGCAACTCAGAAAAGTGAAAAGAAGCACCAATCAATCACAACAGATGAAATCATTCAGAGACATCAGAAAATTATTAATTTCTCAAAGAATGTAGAAAAATTGTTCACGTATATCGCATTGGTAATGTTTATGGTTAATTCGATATTGATTTGTTCATTGGCGTTTGTCATCGTAAGCGTGAGTAAAATATGGAAATTAAAATATTATGTATTAATAATTACTGTTTATTGCTAACTAATAAGCGCACAATTATTTTAATTAATTTCCTTATATTTTATAACACATGTATATAAATAAAGGCAACTATTTTCATAATTGCATAACAAGATAAAAACAATCTTATCTTGTTATGCAATTATGAAAATGTGAAATTATTTTTTTCGTGTATAGGCAATTGGTACACCCGATGCAGTGGAGCAGATAGTAAGATCTATTTTCTTTTTTGCTGGAACAAATCTAGAAGCGTTTGTATTTTGCTTTGCTGGAGAATATCTGAATAACAAGGTTAGCGATAAAATGACTTTTATAATGATGATTATAAATGATGCTAAATTTTGTATTAAAATATTTAAAAAAAAAGTTATCATTAGACTAAAATAATTTTTACAAAGTGTACTGAAAAGCATTTCCATTATTTTCACATTAGAGTAAAGCGATTGGAAATGCAGCATATAATACTGCATGGTATAACTTGAAACCTGAGAATAGCCGTATCTTATCATTTATAATATTAAGATCACAAAAGCAACTAACGCTCACTGTTGGAAAAATGGCCGATCTCTCCTTAGAATATTTTACAAGTGTAAGACTTATGCATAGCATAATAAATTAGCATATAAATTAATTTTGCACATTATTCGGATATATAATAATTAACAAGTGCGAGAAAATTTGAAAAATAATTCTAGATGATAAAATAAGATAGAATAACAAAATTGTGACGAATTATCTTTTAAATACAAATGTTTAAATATCCACGTGCTTTAGACACCTTTACATAAATATTTAAACATTTATAATTAAGAAACAAAGCTAAAATCATAATCTTATTGTTCTTGATTTTCTCAGTTTTAGAATCACTTCTTAAATTTTCTTCCCTCTATACTGGACACTCTGTATATAACTTAAACAAATAATTTATATATATATATATATATATTT